GGGGGGGCTACACCCTCAAAGTTCCGGCTACACCCCCAAAGTTCCGATTCGGCTCAAAATTATGAAATTTGAGCTGTAGGCATTTTAAGCTTCCTCAGCCTCACCTTCAACTATTTCATCTCATAAGAACCCCAGAAAATCTCATTGTTTTCCACACCTTGCCTGTTTGTCATCTCCATTTCCTCATAAAGTCAATATATTTTTTTTTATCAGCCGTTTCCTCAAAACGCGACTTTTCTCTATACTTTTTAAAATAACTCTTCCATTTTTCATCTAATCTTCATGAAATTTCACTGAATGAAGAGAAGATGTAATACTAAAAATTAGTCTGTTGGATTTTTGATATATGTAATAGATTTTTGTTGGTGGTGTCCAGAGTGTGGATTTTCACGGATTTTTTGCTAACTTCAATACTACCTCAGAAAAAAATTCATAAAAATTTTCTAATTCGTTTAAGAAAACAAACAACAGACACATTTTTAGATCTAATGTTTGTGAACACGCATGCAAAAAAACGATCAATTTCCAGAAGCAGTATGTTCGGTATTCATTACGTAAGACATGTCAACAAAAGCCACTATGGCCTCTGTATCCATGGAAACGAAACTTTTTTCTCAACTTTGATTGCGGATTTTAAGACTCCTTACTATGTTTGTTATATGTGTGAAATGTGGTAAAAATCGGTCCTCTAATAAGCAAGATAGCCTTCAGGTGTAGCCCCCTCCCCCCTTAAAGATAATATAGAGTTTTCTACACAAAGTATATCTGCAAATAAAAATTCAACTAAAATTAAGAAAAGCATAATTATTATTGTCGCCCCCAAAAAATCACAACAACAACAAATGTTCGTGCTTCCTCCAAAATCAGCACGCTGTGCAAAGTACACTTTGCTACGTGAAAGGCTCAGTTTGCTTAAACGAGCTGACCCTAATACAACCTGCTCTAATGATTAGTATCACACTTGTAACCCTTTTAGACCGACATCCGGACCTATACTTTTTCTTGTCACACCAAATTATAAGTTACGTCTTGAAAGAGTTAAGAACGCAACAGCAACAACAACAGAAACAGCAACAGCAACAACAACAACAAAATCGACAGCAACAGCAACAAAATTAACAGAAACAACAACAGCAACAACAAAATCAACAGCAACAGCAACAACAAAATCAACAGCAACAGCAACAGCAACAGCAACAACAACAGCAACAGCAACAGCAACAGCAACAACAACAACAGCAACAGCAACAGCAACAACAACAACAACAACAGCAACAACAAAATCAACAGCAACAACAACAACAATAAATAAGAATTCCCCTTTAAAGTGCAATGATCTATATCAATACAGCTATCATAAACTTACAGCTTAGAATTAATTGAAAAACGATTCCAGAACTCAAGGCAGTCCAACGTAGAATGCACAACTTCTGGCGTACGTTCCTCTCAGATCAAGACCTAAGACCTCTCAGGCCAAGACCCAAGACTAAAACTCTCTCGACATCCACCTTCGTATTCTCTGCGGGCTTTTTACAGTGTGAACCGAAGCCAGTCAACCGCTAGTAGTTCATGTGCCGCTTGACTTGCCCTCGAAACGGATCTGACGTACGGGCTTCAGACAACTTTCTTTGTGGATATTCTGACCTTGTCTCAAAGGTGACATAGGACGTGGAGAATAGCACCTGGCCGCGCTTCAGGTAATAGCTTTAGAGCGGTGAGATAATGGACAATAGGGCACCGGTGTAGACGTTTGTTAGCAATAGGAAATATTTACCTGCGATAATTTTCTCTGCCTATCGCGAGACGCAGTAAGAATTCTTGCTTTGTTCACAGAGGAGGTATAACCTCGAAAACTCCAGTACTGCTTGGCTGAAGTAAAGAATAACAAGTATATCAAAATGGAAAAGTGACAGACGGTGACAGACAAATACGTTTCGTTATGAATACAACTAATTTTCTCTGCCTATCGCGAGAAGCAGTAAGAATTCTTGCTGGGTTTACAGCGGAGGCATAACCTCGAAAACATCAGTGCTGCTTGCTTGAGGAAAAGAATGACAGGTATAATATAACTTGAAAAACTGAAAAACAGACACATTTCATGTTGTTATAACAATACATCAGTAGTTGAAGAGCAAGGGAACGCGCTATACAAGTGCTTATTTTGTTATATCATATTAGAGTAGTAGTAGTAGTAGTAGTAGTAGTAGTAGTAGTAGTAGTAGTAGTAGTAGCAGCAGTAGTAGTAGTAGTAAGTTCTGACCTTGTCACAAAGGTGACATAAGACGTGGAGAATTGCACCTGGCCGTGTTTCAGGTAATAGCTTTAGAGCGGTGAGATAATGGACAATAGGGCACCGGTGCAGACGTTTGTTAGCAATAGGAAATATTATTTACCTGCGATAATTTTCTCTGCCTATCGCGAGACGCAGAAAGAATTCTTGCTTTGTTTACAGAGGAGGCATAACCTTGAAAACACCAGTACTGCTTGGCTGAAGTAAAGAATAATAAGTATATCAAAATGGAGAAGTGACAGACAAATGCATTTTGTTATGAATACAGTTACGTGACTGTAGAGCATGGATTTGCGCTATAAGAGAGCTTGTTATATACTATTGTTTATTTTTATTATTATTATTTTTATTATTATTATTATTATTATTATTATTATTATTATTATTATTATTATTATTATTATTATTATTATTATTATTGTAGTTGTTTTTATTATTAAACATCTAGCTCTCAGTGGGAAAAGTTAAGGCAAACGAAGCAGGGGTAGACCAGGACACTTTATTTGGACAGTCTAAAAAGATGGGTGAGTTGGAAAAGATCAGAATGTTTATTCTTATATCTTTTCGATAGCATTCGCGAAAAGGAATGAATGGCGAACTGTGGTCGCCGATGCCTGTTGCAGATCTGGCACTTGATGAGTATTAGTTTATGAACAGATGCGCAAGACAAGGCAGTGGACAGGCAAGTAGGTATTCTGACTGAAAGACATGTAAACTGACACGAGGAAGCTGACAAAAAGACTGTTCTCTTCCCTACCAAATGCCTTTCTCCCCTTGCGTCTGAGGTAAACTTCTACTTTTCCTATTTTATTTATTTGGGGGCTTTTCATAGAACGATCATCATTGCTGTTTTTAACTGGTAAACAGAGTACGTTCATTTGCATTCTTTTGCGTGCTGACAAAATGAGTAACTTCTCGGATATAAGCCGTATGGAAACAGATACGTCACATTTAAAGGTGAATTTTGTACAATGTATAAGTTAGTAATAATAAAACAGGTGTTGTTCTTGAAGACAGTTCTACGTCTGTTGGGCAATTTTTATCGAATTTCTTTTATTTTAAGCTTGACATCTTTTATGTCCATTTAAAAACATGGCATTTATGGATTTTATAAACCCTCCCCCCAAAAAAAAACCTGGATGAAAGGCACAAAAAATTAAAGGAGGTAAATGTACCCCCACCACCTTCAATCACTAACATCACGACTTCTATTCAAGGTAGATGGATATTTCTTTCACCACGAACAAGACAAATGAACAGGTGATGCCAATAGCTCCATTTGGCCAAAAATTGACGAGCTCTAGATTCCGCCGCGTCTAGACACATAATATTGTTATCTGTTGTAATATCAATTTAAATGGGGGGGTGGGGGATCCACTCTGCGCTTACACATGGGAGACCACAAATCTTATTTACCAGTGGCTATATCTGCGATCAGAAGTCGTAAAAATACTTTTAACTAGCCTGCGGAGAAAGGGGAAAATGTTTGCTCGCTGGTCTATAAAAGTTATAGTCTGGACAGAAAATAATGTGGCCTATGGGGGACGCTTCAGAAGTTAGTTCTTGTGGTAAGTGTCTGTAAAAAGGATGAGGTATGTGACCGACATAATACTATAAATATTTAATAGTGCAAAGCAAATACGCCCATAATAATAAAAAGTTTTTACACTGATTACAAGACCGACGCCATGGTTGACAGGCCAATCATCACCCAAGCATGGCTTTCTCAACACACAGTTTCCACCAAGAAGAAAAAAAAAGCTCTCCCACGAGGCTTCTGATGAAGAAGCAATCCAAGTGCATCGGATTTTCTCGCCTGGTTAGAACAAATACATAGTCATTGCTCCCAGCAAATTGATCTTAAGTAGAGAAACAGAGAAAAAGAAGAAATAATACTACGTTCTGAACACTGCAGCCATTCATTACATATTGTTGAGCATAAGCAGATAAAAGAAGTAAAGAGGGAGTAATAGCGAGGTATACACAATCCAGGCATTTATTGGCTATACACGTAGTATGCTGTAAGAGAGTCATTTAAGCGTGAGGTCTTAACTGAAAGGAAGTACGTAGACTAGATTCTATGTTAGCCGACGAAGAAGGAACCGTGAAGCTGACTGCTTTGAGTAAGGATCTGGGAGTAGATCTACTTCTCAATTTTGTTATCGCAGTTTAGATGTAAGCCACATTAAAGTGACTTTTCCATGCGTCTCAGCTTTTGTGATCGAGAAGCAGTAATGAGGTCAGCTAGCAAATCTCATGGCTCTGGTCTGATACTGAATTTTATAGAGTATGGGTTGTTGGAAGTGATTACCCCACCCCTCTTCACCTTACCAAATCACTCACACACAGACACACACACACCCACACACACACACACACACATACACACACACACAAACACACACACACACACGACACGCATACACACAAGCACACACATAAATACAAATACACACGCACGAACACACACCGCACATACGAACAAACACAAACGAACATGCATAGAGAGAGCCTGAGAAAGAGAGAGAGAGAGAGAGAGAGAGAGAGAGAGAGAGAGAGAGAGAGAAAGGAAAGAAAGAAAGAGGGAAGAGAGAAAGAGAGAGAGAGAGAGAGTCATACGTAAG